CTTCAACAGTTCTCAATCGGGCATTTGCAGCTCCTGGGGTTCACAAACAGGTTGCAAGGTGTCCGCCAAAGAGCGCTGTCATTAGACTCACTGGGGCCTGGAGCTGAAGCTCAGGAGCAGAGCAGGGACTGAAACCCCAGCTGCCCTGGAGCCCAGCATGGGATGAAGTCCTGCCTCCCTGGAGCTCCGTAGCCTGGGGCTGAAGTGAAAGCTTGTGGAACTGAATTTTGCAGGGCCCTGCTTGCTATGCCCTAATGCCAGCCCTGGCTTTTATGTGCAGAAAAAGAATTGTTGTTGCACTGGGGGGCTGTGGAATTTTTAACAGCAGCTATGGAAAGAAACCTTCACCCCAGTATTTCCAATATCCCGGAGTCCACCTGTGATGCAGGAGACATGGGAGAACAAGGCTCAGATCCCTGTCATCCCTCACTCAGAGCAGGGATTTTAACCAAAGATCAAATATCCCTGGTGACTGCCCAACCCTCTGGACTTTAGGGTACTGTGGGATGTGTCTTGCAAGTCCTCTCGATGGAAGTATTCCACTCTGCATAAATAAGTATTCACTGGTTTTGAGACTTAAACCCACGAAAGCTCATGATACCATCTACAATTTTTGTTAGGCTTTAAAGTGTTACCAGACTATTTGTTGTTTTTTAATGTTTTCTGCCTCTTCTTTGTAAACCATTAAAATATTCATTGTTCCCAGACAGACTCCATGGCAGGTAGTTACTGTACTTGACTGGGAGGAAACCTGGGTTTTAGTATTTCTCTGCTGTGACTGGGCTCTCTCCACATTCCATTCAGTCCCCCACCACATGCTTGCTTTCCTTCACCCACCCACTACTGGACTACAGCAGAGATGCTCTAACTTCCTGAGTGCACATATTCCCTTGCCCCATCATTTCCTCGGTCTGCGCTCAGTCCCCCAGCTCTCTCCCCTTGCAATCTGTTGCCTGTTCAGTTCCCCACCTCTCTTCATTCATTGTCACCTGCCTTCACTACCTCACGTGGGCCTACTTCACATTTTGTTCCCTGCCTCGCCTGCCCCGTTCATTCCAGCCCCAGTTGCCTCATACATCTGGACCCTCTCATTTCTTGTGGTTGCCCTCACCATTTTGTTTCATCTACCATTCACTGTAACCTTCATTTACAGCTGCCTATTGTGTCCCATATCTGCCTGACTTTATTTCATTAACCCCTCCACTTTTATTGCACCTTCTTCCACCACATGTGGCCTACTAGGGCGGAGCAGTTAAGTTCCATTTTCTCTACCCCCACCCTTCCCTTTAACATGTCTGCCTTCCCCTCTGGTAGCTATTCCAATCCCCTGCTGTCACCTCCCATCTACACGAAGCCTCACCTCTGGTACAGCTTGGCAAACCATCTATTTGGTGGCTTCTTCCATCTGGGGCAACTGGGTTAAATGCTCTGACCTGATGGCTGGGGATGGATGGCAGATGAGCTCTCTCCCACCTGAGCTCAGTACCATCTGGTGAAGTGTGAGCCCACTGTTATCTGACCACATACGGTTCTGTCACTGATCCCACCCTACTAGATAATTCTATTGCTTTGACACCAAGGTATCTGACCAGCTGTAAAGGTGGGCACAGCAGCACTGGTACCTTTCCCTTTGGGGGGAAGGTGCTAGTGGTCATCCATCTAGTCCTATTCATGTTCAACACCCTGAGTCCATCTCCAAAAACCCTGGTCAGACTCTAGAAGGAGATCCTAGAGTTTTTCTGGCCTGCAGTATACTAAGTCTCTGTGTCTATCTTGAGTCTTCTTGCAGGAGGACAGACAGGGCCTGGTCTATATCCACAGCCAGGTTCATACCTTTCAGGAAGAGACTCCTTTACAGTGCAGGTAGTCTGGTATGGAACATGCTGACACATCCCTTTCTCTACTGCCTCTGAGGGCTACAATATGAGCAACAGGTCTTACCTTTACCTGAAAGAAAAACTTCTCTTTTTCTACACCTCCTGAAGTATGCACACCCCATTCATGGCTCCACAAATGTGCAGGCATTTCTTCATCCAGATATTGCCTAACTTTTGAGTACTTGACTTTGAAACCTTAATATTCTTTTAATTTAGCGTGTGCACACAAATGCAATTTACTAGGGTTCTTTTGTTCCTTTTTATAGAGAAGTGCATTGAAAAAAATCAGATTCAGACTTGCTGCCTCATACTGATGTCTATGTGGGTCATCAGCACAGTTAAACTCTTTAGATCCAATGCACAAGATGTCTGCCACTTCACCTAACAGATTAACTGTTAGCAATAGCTGGTTATCACCCTTTCTGTGGACTGTCTACAGAGGAATGTTTGCATATGTTTGCTGACAGCAGAATGATTTGACTCAATAAACTAGGGCTGCATTCCAGGCTGTAGAGGCAGTCTGCTATAGTGGCCACACGCTCTTCTGCTCCTTTCCCCTCAAGCATGATCTTTTCTAACCCTTCCACTGCAATATGTCCCTGCCCAAGCCCCTACCTCAGCGTTTCAAAATAGTAGCACCGTGCAGAGCCCAGATAACCCCGGGTTCTGAGGAAATGCTGCGTGGAACCCACGGTCAGCTGGAGAGTCCCTTGCTGACCTCAGGTGCCGCCGCCACATTTCAAAGTGGCAGCGCAGCATGGAGTCCAGGATCAGCATCCTCCTCTGAGTCCCCCGCTGACCCCAGTCTCCACAAGGGCGCTTCTGTGTTGAAATGCACAAGAGCCTCTGCTGGGGACTCTTGTACATTTCAAAGCTGGCCCGCATGCATCCAGCGGGACTTCCCATTAGCCCCAGGCTGCAGGCAGAGTTCCACATTCCTTTTTTGAAATCGACAAGAGCCCCAGCTGAGGCTCTTGTACATTTCAAAGGAGGAATGCAGATGTGCCTATCGACTAGTCGAGTACTTGATGGAAATTCCATCGACTACTCGACTGGTAAATTAACTGCTAGTTAATATATTTAGTCTGAAGCTTGCTTCCTTGACTAATGGAAGCATATAACCCACATGCTCCAGACTGTTTGTGCCCCTCCCTCCTCAGGATCATTGTCCCAATCCACTCCACCCTCACCCATCACATCTCCTGGTCTGGTTCTTGTCCTCTCTGAATTTGATATAATAATAACCTGTTCTATAAACTCTACTTATAATTAACATTCATAGAAAAAATGAACTTCTAAACTGTTGCCCATTTAAGGTTTGGGAATTTATTTGTTTCATGCTTTGTTTATGATTATCAAGCTCATTAACAACTGCTTTTCTGACTTGACTGATGGCTTGGTGTTAAAATGGGCTTATTTATTCAAAGGTGATTTAACAAAGTTCATCTATTACAGAGTTATAACTATAATTAATGTATAGATTCTTGTTGTAAGTAGATGCATCAAAAAGTATTCCTACTAGACTGGCACTGAATTTCAATGAATGCAGATTTTAATAACATTTTGTAATTTTGAATAAGCAGTTGCAAAAATAAAATGAGCAAGGGCATTATACAGCCTTATGCTATATGGTATTAGGATTTCTATTCAAGTGCAAGAAATACAAATGGTTGCACATTCAACATTTGGATAAATTTAAAAATTTTGGAATGGTGAAATGAAGAATTATAAAAGCTTTTCAAAATTTTAACAATAACCTCATTCTTGGTCCTTTGCTTACCTGTGATGAATGCACTTATTCTGAAATTACAGTGCAACTTTTACTATGTTTGTCAATTAGTCTCTGTTTGATCATCACAATTTTGAACTAAAAATAAAAACATTCCTAGTGGGCCAAGTTTTGAACTCTACTGGGTTTACACAGTCCTTATTTTCTGAATTGGGAAAAAAGTGGATCAGAAATAAGATTTTAACTGTTTAGTTAGGACCAAACCAGAACAATACTACTTCAGTATTGCCACTTTCAATTTGCTTGTGTTTTCTTTACTTATACACGTTGCGCAATATATTTGTGCTTGTTTTATTTTGTGTGTGTTTGTTTTCTGCACTCTCCTGCATTATAGTTTGGCTCTCTATACTGAGATGAAAAAACATTCATTTCATGCCCTGGTACCACTATTCATTTTTAAGTTTTCCGTCAGGTTGTAGTGAAAGATACAGTTTGCTAGAGAGAACCTGCAGGAAGCAACTTTGCACCCAAAAATTATTCCAGTCTGAGAGATTTACACAATAGGAACTGATTCTGTAATTAGATCAGTCTTGGGAAAATACATTTCATGTGGTGCTGCTCTTTCTGGAATCTGAGCCTATCACCATTATTGTTTGTTAATAACACACAGTAACCTCTGAACAACTCTGCAGAATGGGAGAAGGCTAAAAACTGAGCATTAATATTTCTATTTCTAAAATATAAAATCACATTCTTGCTAGTTAAAAGTTAAATTATGATTATTTATCTGACAAATGCCCACCTCATGCTAAGTGCTATACAGACACAAGCTAAAATTATTCTAGTCTTAAAAGAAATACAGAAACAGATGAAGGATTGAAATAAGATGTTCCCCCTGCATCGTGTGCTAGAAATTCTGACACAAATTTTACTTATATATCCTGAAATTTCTTCAGGAAAAAAAAAGTCCCCAAACAACAAAACCTATCATTATTAGGGATATTTGCTGATCTGCAAATAAAACTCTTCAAGTATTACAGCTGAACTTTGAAAAGTGAAAGTCACAATGAATCCACAATATTTTTTCAAAAAAGTTAGTTTTGGTTAGTTAAAAATTTTGTTTTAGAAAAATCTTTAGAAAAATTAGTACATTTCACTGTATACCATCTCACTATATTAACTTCCCTGAGTTGTGCAACTAGAAAAGATTTAAACCATATAATCCATTTAGTCTTTATAAAAATAGATACCACTTACGTTAAGAAACATTCTGTGCATATATTTGACTAATGTTTTATATACACAGTGAAGAGAATTTTTCTAGGGGAGGAAGTCAAGATAGATCAGGCTGCAATTTTAGCTGCTTACAAAAGAGGGAAAAATGTCATACTCACATAAGGAATCGTGTCCAAGGTGTCTGTGTTGACGATTATAGGGGCAGGACTAGCCTGAGAAAAAAAGAAAAAGGGAAAACAATTTAAATATTTCAATACTTATTGAATATTGAAATTACAGTAATGTGAAATTCAGAGCTAGACCCCTTACCTCCCACTGAACTCACGGGCTACGGCTACACTGCAGGCTTCTTTCACAAGAACTGTTTTGCACAAGAGTTCTCGCGCAAAATAACTTGCGCAAGAGCATGTCCACACTGCCATGTGCTTTTGTCCATGGCAGTGTGGACGCTCTCTTGCGCAAGAAAGCGCTGATGGACATTTTAGCCATAGAGGTTTCTTGCACAAGAAACCCCTGTTGCCCGTCCACAGTGCCTTCTTGCACATGAGCTCTTGTGCAAGAGGGCTTATTCCTCGTGGGGAAAGGAATAACTCTTGCACAAGAAGCCCTCTGTTGCAACGCCTTACTGTAAATTTACTTGCACAAGAATGCACGTGCAGTGTAGACACTCTACAAGTTTTTGTGCAAGAACAACTGTTCTTGCGCAAAAAGCCTGCAGTGTAGATGTAGCCACAACGAATAAAAATGTGTGCCTTGGATCTTGTTGAATTCATTGGTATTGGAGGTCAGTAGGAAGTACTCAGTACTTTGCAGGATTGGGCCCTTAGAGCAATATACCTGCTAGTCTTTTTCATCCATGGGAAGTTTGGATCCAGATAGGTTCACTTTAAAATTTGGATCAGGTTTGCAAAGATTCAGGAATTTTTCAAATAGCCCATGCCCAGTTTAAAGTTCCTGATGGACCCACAGCCAGGCAAATTTAAAGCAGTTTCTAGTTTCACTAGAAGCACCGAGCATACTTCTATCATTAACTAACTCTTTAGTGTTAGCATTTCAAAGCCCAGGAAGCAACAAACTCCTCCCCACTAAAACAAAAAAAAGGACATTGATGCCATAATTTGAGTGCTTTCATGTAGCCACATGGTTTCCAGCCTTTCAGTGTCATGATGTAGAAGAATAACTTCCATCTAAAGTGAAATTATAGGTTATATGCAGCCACACTTACATTTGCTAAAATTATCGCACTTTATACAATTGTCCAATCACAGAGAATACACAGAGAAGAAGACACATATTTGGATACTCTGAAGTTGGTGCAATTTAGCTGATGACCTGTCTTCATCTATTACAGTATTGTATGGTTTGCTGTTAAAAAAACGCTTTCTAAACATCAGAAAAAAAGGCAATCTCTGTACCTACCTTACATCCAGGTATCTTCACTGGTCCTTGGTAGTTTTAGGTAGCTTTAGCATATACACATTTTAGAATCTTTTTTATTTAGATTGCTATAATTGCAGTGATAGGCCATGATTTATAGGAAAAATAGGAAAGATTTATAATGTGCAACTGTTTCATTTAAAAATACAGACTTTTCATGTCACTTTTGCTTTCATAAATGTTCACTATCTCTTCTTTTGTTTATATTACAGATAGAATGAAGATGCTTTAAAAATAAGTCTCTCTCTGTGACCCTTCAAATTTCATTTGAATCCTGTTTTTACTTCTCTGCTACTGGAAATTAATCAGCAGCCATTTCATCATTTCTCCACTCTTCCAGGTAACTCAGGTCCCTAATTACAAAAATTGCAGCAAGCGTACTCATTTTTCAGACAGTTCTTTTCAGAAGTTTTTCAGCCGGAAAAAATTACAAGCGATGAAGAAGCATGTGGAGACAATATAAAATAAGATTGGTTAAGGACTTGGAATTTCTTTGAAGAACTCCTCAACTGCACCTGTAATCATGTAACCTTGACTGACAATGGAGCATGTCCAAACATTAAGCTTGCCTTCAGGCAAGAAACAATGTTGTTTTAAGAACTATAGACAATTTTCTTGGGATTATAGGAAGGCCTGGAAAGCCTCCCCTTATGGTGGCATGGTGGGCCTGGCCAGGCTGAGGCAGCCATGGGCGGTGGCTGCTGTGCCCGTGCTGGAGCACCCTCTGCTCACGGTGCAGTGGGGCTTGCCAGGCTTGCAGGTTAACCCGTAAGCATCACCATCTAGCAGCTACTCCTACATGGCGGTCCCAGAGAGACTCCGTGCACTGCTGCCTGCAAGCACCACCCCCACAGCTTCGACTTGCTACAGTTCCCAACTAATGGGATTGCAGAGTTAATGCTCAGAGTAGGAGAAGCACATGGAAATCCCGTCCCCCCTCCCTGGGACTGCAAGGAGGTTGTCAGCTGCTTCCAGAAATGGTGTGCAAGGCAGGCAAGCAGGAAGTCTGTCTTAGCCCTGCTGTGCTGTTACTGATTGTCCCATCTAAATAACGATGTATTAGAACTGGGAATAGTACAGAGTTGGGCAACACAAATAATCTGAAGTATGGAACAGCTTCCATATGAGGAGAAATTAAAAGACTGCTCATCTTAGAGGTGAAACAACTAAGAGAGGATATGACAGAGATACACAAGATCAGGAATGGTGTGGTGAAAGTGATTTATTTACCCCTTCACACAATACAAGAATCGGAGGCGGGGGGTCACCTAATCAAAAGTAATATAAGTAATAAGAGGGAGATTCCAAATAACCACAGGAAGTATATTTTAGACAATGTCTTCCAGCCCTGGAACTCATTGCCAGGGGATGTTGTGAATGCCAAAAATACTACTAGGTTAAAAAAACAAGAATAGGATAAGTTCATGGAAGGAATGGCTATGAGCAAAGTTAGTCATGGATGCACCCCATGCTCTTGTCTCTAAACTTCTGACTACCAGAACCTAAACTGGATGACTGGGAAGGCATCACATGACTGATCCAAATCTGGACACTGCAGACAAATCTGGGACTCATGCCTCATGCCCATTAGCTTTAAACACCATAAATATTCCTTATTCAGGTCCACTTTCAACACACATAAGAGCTAGTTAAGAGTTTCATCTGTCACACTTCTCCCACATGCTCATGGATGTCATTCTTCATGAAAATTTTCTGGCAGTGGTAGCCCAGGACTCAAAAAGATTTGATATCTGTTTCAATTAGTATATAATGTCTTCAAGTAAACTAGTGCAAGAAGTAGGAACATCTGTAACACCCACAAATGCTTTAATGACCTCTGTATTCAGAAAATCACGGTCTTTCTGTTCCTAATAGAACCTACCCAAAAAAGGAAAGAAGCTTAGCTTTGCTTTCCTTTTTTGATATCTAAATAACTTTTCAGAGGATTCTGGTGTATTATGTTCCAGACAACTGCTTAAATTGAAAAAACTAGTGATTAATGATATATGAACATCAACACAGGTAACAATGGCAGCAAACTCAAGATATTCTGTAGGAGAGGTACCAGCCATGGTGACATTCAAAATGTGCAATTATAAAATAGATAAAAAAATTTCTGCTTCCATGTTATAGGAGAGCACTCTCAAGACACACTAAACAACACCACATGAAGGGAATTGCTGGGACTATCATCTGATTTTTCATGAATAATTCTAGTGAGATTCCTTACGTGATCTAGCTCAGAAATTATATTCATCTGCAAAACAAACAAAATATTATAGATGTTTTTCACACAAAGAGAAAAGTAGGTCTATGCATGCTTACCCTATGAGTAATCCACAGAAGTTAAAATGGCATTACTTACAGTGAATATGCACTATGCCTGACCTTAGACAGCTTTTGAAATACAGCCGGTCCCCGACTTATGAACGAGTTATGTTCCAAGCACTTGGTTGTAACTCGATGTGTTCGTAAGTCAGACCCCATTCATTTCAATGGGACCGCGCTGTTCATAAGCATGGATCACCATTCATAAGTCGGGGCCGCACTTAATAGGAGGTTGGTCGTAAGTGCGGTCGTACGTCGATGCGTTTGTAAGTCGGGGACAGGCTGTATTGGACTAAAAGATTGATAGTGGAACTGGGACTAAGAATGAAACTGGTGTGTGTGTGTGTGTGTGTATGTGTATATTTCAGTTTCTAAGTAGACTTTTTATTAAATAGAGTACTGAGTAAGAGCACTAGTGCCTATATTTCACATTACCCATGCACATGTTTCAGAGTTTTGTATGAACAATGCTTACATTTATCAGGGAAGAAACAAGGTAGAATGATGACATTTCTGGCATCTGCATCCAGGACAAGTGAATACACAAGTCTCAGAGCCAGCAAATCACTGAGATGAATGGTACTTTTCACCTCTCAATTTTATTGCTTCGGGCTGTTTGAAGCCTCAGAAAAACAACACTAGTTTAAACTCAATTCAATTTTTCAAGGTTTTTCTCAGAACTATAAGAGATCAAATCAGAAGTAAATACTGTAGGAAACAGTGAGAGAAGATACAAGCAAGTGCATGCACACTACCACATGCACAATTCTAATTTCAATATACAGGGCGTCCCCACTATAAGTTTCCCAGGTATACATTCATTCCGCACTAAAGTCATTGATGGTTTTAGGAACTGATGCATTGTAAATCCTCCCATTCCCTGCTCTTAAGTCATGCCCTCCCCAAAAAATTGTGCAAATGGAAGTCAGCCGTGGAAAAAAATGTCCTCGCTTTAAGTTGTTTCGCTATAAGTCCACGTTTTTTGGAACTTATCTTGGACTTCTAGGGTGTGTCTAGGCTACATCCCTCTTTTGACAGAAGAATGTAAATTAGGCACTTCAAAACTGCAAATGAAGCTGGGATTTGAATTTCCCGTGCTTCATTTGCATAATCGCGTCATGGTGCTCTTTCGAAAAAGTGCTATTTTGAAAGTAAAACCGCAGTCTAAATGTGGTTCTTTTGAAAAGGGAAGGCTTTTTTGAAAGATCCTGTAAACCTCAAAAAAATGAGGGTTTACAGGAAGCCCCACGTTCCATGCGGAGCTCTTTCTACAGTTCAAAAGCAGAGGTGCCTTTGTAGGCTAGCCTAACAGTCGATGGAAATCCCATCAACTATTTGATTAGTTAATTATTCTAAATTTTACATTCCTATTCCTGACTGTTGCCACATTAATCTTTTCCCCTAAAATCTCCAGCATATGCCAGCAACTTGTTCTATACCTTCTCTG